TGTTCCAGCCAACAAGGGCCAACAGCGTCTTCCCGTCGTCCTGTTGGATCAGTTCGACCGGCAACTCCCAGTGCCTCGGGATGGCTATCACACGCTGCAGTACAAGCGTGCCGCCGCAGCCTTGGAGCAACGGAGCGACAGCCCTGGCCGAATCCGGCACCTGGTACACTCCGTTCAGAAGCTCTTCACCAAGTCCCACTCACTAGAGGGCCCACACCATGGTCACGGCAAGGGCAGCATCAACGGAGGCAAGGCCAGCCCCGAAGGAGAACCCCCTGCTATTCGGCACCGAAAGCGCAGCAAGAGCCGGGAGCGCTGCAAGTCGGCTGAACCCAAGAACAGGACGCCACCTTCTGGTTACTGGAGCTCGGATGAATTGGAACGCGAAGCCTGCCTGTTTCACCATGGACCACCGGGCGTCATGACCATGGGCCGCCACCCGGATAAATCGCAGTCGCAGTACTTCTTGGAAGCCTACAACACCATCAATGACCAGGCACTTAAAAACTCCCGCAGCAGCAATGATTTGGGCAAGTGCTCGACGTGCACAAGCATCCCACTGAGCGTGGACGCTTCACAGCTCGTGAAGAAGAGCTCGTGGTCGTCCTCTCTCACGGTGAGCAGAGCACGTCAAGTCTACCAGAAGGCCTCGGTAAATGTAGATAAGGCTCTAGTGAAAGCAGAGGCTTGTCAGCAGGAGCGCTCATGCCAATTCTTGCAGGTATGCAAAAAGCCTTTCAATTCTCCCCTACACCCACATGCTCATCTAACCCACCTCCACCTTTCCACCACCCCTCCTCTTCCTCCTCCACCATTGGAGAGAGCCTCCAGTTTTGATTTGAGTTCTGCCGAGAAGTAAGTGCAACCCACTAGCTGCCTTACTTTCTGTTTAGCTGACAAGCATCTGTTTGGATCCATTCGATCTCTGGCTGGTATCATTTCCCTCTCTAAACCTGAAAATCTATTTTTTTTTTAACCAATGTTTTTACTAAGTTCTTATTTTGTTGGGTTCTGTGTGAGTTTGTATGTGTGTGTCTGTGTATGTGGTGGGATTGGATGAAGCAGATTGGATGAGTGCTGTTCTTGTGGATGTGTATGAAGAGGATAGACTCCATCCATTATAACTGGTGTCATGAACGGTTACGTCCTAGCTTAGCATACTGTTAGCAAATTAGCCTGCTAGCTTAGCCTACACCCTATGCAACTGAGCTGTGCAAAATTCAGAAGTGAAGAACTGGCTCTCTTTCCATTCATGAATGTGAATTTAAAATCTACAGGAAGTTTAATTAGAATGACAAGAAGAGCAATTCACTCTAAACTGCAATTCAAAGAAAGCATGATCCAAAAAGTTATTTTACTAAAGCTGCAGTATATACCTTTTTTGGTCAAAAATGAACAAAAATTGGTTATTGAGTTTAAAAGACATCAGTGTTCAAAACTTATCTCCTTATCTTACCTCGATTCACACAGTAATGATTTATAATTTGAGGTTGTGTCCGATTTTCACAGGGAATTAATATCCTTTGTCAGTTTGATGCATGTTTACATCACGTCCGTAAACAGAAAGAAACCAGGCTAATATATGCCATGTGTGGGTGAAGCATTTGTAGCTTGTTATTACAACAGTTGCTTAGTTTTTTAAAGGGGTGCTTTATTGTTATTTCACTTTTTTTAACTTTAGTTAGTGTGTAATGTTGCTTTTTGAGCTTAAACAACACCTGCAATATACGTGGGAGATATATTCTTTTACAGAATTAGCTTTTTAAGGCCTACAGCAAACAGCTGGTAGGGACTAGAATCAGCTTTACATAAAATTTACATAAACCCTGCCCCCAGGAACAAGCAACAAAGGCTAATGGTAAGAGGCGTGACATTTCCGGACAACATGCACCAGGCGGTTAGCGAATCACAACACACTGTGCCAGCTAGCCAATCTGAGCCAATTGCGTATTTCTGAGGGAGGGGCTTCATAGAACCAGGAAGTCAACAGACCGTTTTTAGAAGAACAGAAACTGGTGTAGAATAAAGGTAAAATATTTGAAAAATAATGAAATGAAAAAAAATAAAAAAATTGAAGCATGAACACATGTTACAGTGCACCCCATAAACACAATCAAGCCTTCAAAAATAACTGATTGACCACCCCTTTAAGTAACTTTTTATGTTTCAAATAGAGATGGCGATATAGAGGCAAAAGTTACATACTGCAGCTTTAAATGTTCAAATGTAGAACTATATATAACCTGAAATATGTAAACTGAATGCGTAATTATATAGGAGGCATTTTAAACACCCTGTTTGCTACCACAATTCAAATTCACTTTAAATTCTGTTCAAATTAAATTCAGATTCAGAATTTAAATTGGGATTTTAAAAGGCATTATAGGTATTATATGATTTTTACTTTATCAGGCATTACAAACTACTAGTCCCTGGAGTCATCAACAAATATTTGTGACAGTGGTCTTGTAATCTGATTGGACAAGAATACCTGCCAAAACACACTGTGCTGACACTCTTTACAGCAGCACTCGAGCTCTTGTGCTGTCGTTTAAATATGGTTTGTTTGAGATGTGGGTTTGAGGAGGCCAATTTTTGTGTATAATTGTTACATTCTTAGTACTTTTGTCTCTACAGGGCATGTATCAATTATTATAATGACGGTTAATATTAAGCACTGTGTCAGAAATAAACAACACATTAGTTAGGGTGAGAAAGAACTCACTGTATCTGATATTATTTAAAGTTTTTCCTATTCCTTTTGTACGTAAGGCTGCACAGTCCTCGTAGTCCTAGTGAACAGACAAATGAGGTAACCCGTTACGTTATACATGTATTAAACGAGCGAACTAGAGAAGATCTTAAGACCACCTGCAGCGGACTGTGAGTTTGCACGTGGGCAGCCACATACTAATTCAGATGCTAAATTGAGCTGGCAGGATGTCTCATGTTCTCTATCATGCTCTGTCAATACAAAGAATAATTGGCATCTTTCTTCAGGGCTAAATCTGGATGCCAGTTGCCATAGTAACCGTGAGTGACAGGGCATTGCACTGTGCTGCTCTTGTTCTAAAGGTTTGTGGAAAGATTCTTTAGATGTTGAGCAAGTTGTGATTTGCTGTCGATACCAAGTTAGAATTATGATGTTGATGTTGTAGACTTTATACAGACATTTAGGGTTTCATGCTTGTTCTTTTGGGAGTACCTCTGTGTGTGTGTGTGTGTGTGTGTGTGTGTGTGTGTGTGTGTGTGTGTCTGTGTGTGTGTGGGTGTGTGTGTGAGTGTGAGTGTGAGTGTGTGTGTGAGTGTGAGTGTGAGTGTGAG